AAAACAGACCTGTTTTATGCTATCCAAAGTTTGTCAAGTTGTGCACTTCTGAGTTAGTAAGTGTCCCTCCTAAGGCAAGTTTCTTCAGTGAGTGGTGCAACCTGTGGAAGTGGCTGAGTAGAAACACTAGCTAGTTTTAAATCAGAGGGTAAGAAGGGGGTGTTTGGGTTTAATGGGGTTTTGTTGGGTTGTTTTTACTTTTGGAGCACTTGAACTAGTGTCTTTTGTATTTAAATGGAGGTGGTAGTAGTAAAGGGCTCAAGTGAAGAACTATCAGGTGGGTGTTCTCTGTAAGTAAGAATCACTTCCAGAGCAAATAATAAAGCAGTGAATATTACAGATTGGAACCACATTTTCAAAAATGTCCATTAAAATTATCCAGCTTGAAACATATCAAATGGTCTTCATGTTCCAAAAGTCATCCTCAGGACGGCTTCCTGCTCGCCTTTTATTCAGGGAAAACATGAATTTTTTTATTTTTCTTCTCTTTAGGAGGAGTAATTTAAAGCCCAGGAGATTTTGGCCAGTGGAAGAAAAAAAACCCAGGGTCTGGAACTGTTTCTAGATTATTTCCAAGTCATCTATACTTCATTGCTTTAAATAAACACAATGTGTGTTTATTCTCCTAATATTCAGTTCCTTATCTACTTTAAAATGCTTTCACATTCTGGAGAGTCCTCATTCCTGTGAGCTAACATGCTTGATTACTTCATAAGCTGCAAATGAGGGGCAGAGTTGTGAACCCTCATAACATGATGCTGTCAAACTTAACAAAACATTCATAAGACCATTACCACACCAGACATTTGCTTTTAGTCAGGTCGTTTTAATCAATTTGACTTTACAGGGCAGCTAATTTATCACTTAGCTAAACAAGTATTTCCTCTACTTGTCATCAATTTCAGTAATTAAAATGGTCAACTTTGCTATATGGCATGAAATAAAGGCCCAAAGATAATTTGGAGAAGGTGGATGATACAGTCTAGTAGAATGAATGCAAAGTATGATTTAAATACTTTGGTACGCTTCAATAGTTTTCAGAAATGTCATATTCTGGTAGCTTTGCTGGTATGGATATAAGCTGGTTTTTATTTTTAGCACATCCAAAATTAAACAACATTGTTCAGCTTCTTCCTCAAAAGTTAGTGGGTTCTTGTTCTCTTTTCTTTAAGCATACAATGTTTTGGTATTTTGCTTGATTGTTTGGGGGTAAGAGGTTATTAGACATCTATGTTGGGATAAGTGCTGCAATTTGTGCAGGTGTTCTGCCCTGGTCCTAAGTACTTCCTCAAGGCTGCAGGTCCTCTCCTTTCATTTCACCACTGGGGGATAGGAAGAGAGGGGAAATGGATGTTGTAGAAGCTCAGAATTGCCTAATTCTTTTTCATCTTCTCAGTTCCACCTTCAAAATATCCTTTATGAGACTGATTATATTTTCTAATTTTGCCCAAACAGTATGACTACTCTTCACATCTTAAACATAGTCTGTAAGCCTGTCTTTCAAAGCATTTTTGGTATCTGCATTGAGAACCTGGGTTGACAGGTCACAGACATACTGATAAGATGCCTTCACCGGAAAGCAGACTGGATTCACTCCACATACATTGGTCAGTGAGGAGCACACCTGAATGCTGTTCTCGGTAGCGTGAGGGCTGTCCCTGTTTGTGTACCTAAGGAGAGTAGCCAGACAAGTAGTTTACGTGCCTGTCTTTTCCTTGGGCTCATGGGTGGATTAGTTTGTCTTGTCATTCCCTTAACTACATCAATGTTTCATACACAGCTTTGATTATTTTTTCATATATATATTAAAGAATAGTTGAACTCCCAGTGCTGGGAAGGGTGCCTGGTCTTTGGGGTTTTTAGCCTTTCATCTCTAGAGGAAAAAAATAAGTAGGAATAGATAAAATAATCACTGTTAACTCTGACTGAGATGTTAGGGTTTAACTAAATAGCCAGTATCATCAAGTCTTGTAATCTAATAATTGAATTCTAGATTTTTATAACATTTTTATTGTTTCACATTGAGAATGTTTTTAAATTGCATCTTATTTAATATGAACAATATGTTATAGGCCATTACAAATCAACCACAAACCTGTAAAGAATCTGTCTCAGTAAGATCCCAAGCGTAATCATAATTGTTTAATTTCTCTTTTCTCTTTGTTCAAACAGCTGAAAAGAACTTAAGTATAAAACTGTAGAGAAAATTGCTTGGACTAAGGAGTGACAAGACTAATAGGTAGTGATTTTTTTTAACACTAATCAAATGTATCCGTAAACAAACACAAGTAACTGATTAAATCACTCTGCAAGTATCAAAAGTAAATCTATTCAGCTGTTTAAAACTGCTCTAACCATTTGTAAAGTAAATTATGGCTATTATGTGTTGTGAAGGCATGGTATTTGGGGAGTATTTAAAAAAAGAGAAGGTGGATACGGAAGAATGCAGAACAACAAATTTACTAGAGCTGATTTCCTACTGTGTTATGGACATAGGAGAATATATGGCTGAAGCATGTTATGTCTTAACTAAGTGGTGGCTGCTAAAACAAGGGCTGGTAAGGTCATTTTGTGCCTAGTTCTCAATTTGAAGTGCACTCAGGATTGTGCCTTGGTCAGATGATGCAGCAGTGTCTGAAGGACCATCAAAATAACAAGTTAAACTCTAGCAGCATAGTTCAAAATAAACTTGTAACTTTTTGTGAAGACAAAATCAGCAGGTCAGTAGAGAGGTGATTGCGGTCATAGAACGATAGAATGATTTGGGTTGGAAGTGACCTTAAAAATCATCTAGTTCCAAGCCCCCATCTGGCTTGGAACACTTATACAGTTTTACAATTGTAAATTTACAATTTACGTTGTAATAATTTACAATTATAAATTGTAAATTTATAATAAATAAATAAATTGTAAATAAAACAATTTACAATTATTACAGTGATATACCAAAGGAAACAAGAACAGCAACTAAAATTCCAGCAAGGAAAAACTATAAATGTACCTTTCTACAAAGTTGTTTCTTTGTTTTAATTGAAAGAATTAAGTAAATTCTTTCAATTGTTTATTTTTTCAAGGTATGAGGTAGTTCTAAATGTCTCTGTATTCTGTAGCCATAAGACTACATTAAAATGTTTAAGTGAATAGCAAATTTATAAACGTTTTTCTTGGAGTTTCCATTTGTGCATTTTTCATTATTATAGCTTAGAAATTACATAGGAAAAGCATGATGCGTACTTGTGTTTATAATACATTTTGTTGAGCTAGTACAAAGAGTTGTTCAAGGCAGTTCTGGTTTGGTGGTGTGTTTTTATCATGTGATTGCACTAATTTGACATAAAGGTGTATCACTGCAAAAGTGGGTAGTCCTGCCTTCCCTCAGTTACTGGCTCCTTGTTCACAAGAGCTTCACATGTTCTCTTCTGTCTAAAAGTAGTAAGAGATAATGATGTGATCATTTCAGCACCACACTGACACAGGTGCTAAGGCAGATAAAGGACAAAACCCTTAAGGGACATAGCTGAGAGAGCATCCTTTTGAAAACAGTCTGAGTGCATTGGCTTAAAGGAGATGCCTAACAGTGGCCCAACTAGCTTTGTTTATTATTTAGTGTTTTGGGTTTGTTTGGGGGTTGCTCAGTTGTTTGGGATTTTTTACATAACTTTATAGGAAATGAAGCAGATGAATAATGTATAAAAGCAGAAAGGTCTTAGGAATCCCAGTCCCCCTTCATTTATTGACAGTAAACTGAAGGTATAAAGCATATATGGCCAATGCCATGCCTTGTAAGGACCAAAGGAAAACCATAGCTGGAGTGATTTCCAAATAGGTAATATACCAGTCCTGAAAGTGTAGGTGCATACCTCTTTGTGTGTTTGCCTTTGCATATTTATTTTGAAATATAATTTAATTGGAGTTAAAATGTTACAGTACTTGTAAACTAAGGAGTTAGAGTAAGTGATATTTAAAATTCAGATGGCAATCAGAGGTGACTACCTAGTGTGCTTGGGCAAATCAAACCTATTTGGCTGGCATAGTTCTTTCGTGTTGCAGGTTAATAAATTGCTGTACAGTGACCAAAATGCAGTTTGACAAATGTACCCTTGTGCTGTTAATGCACTGGAAAGGTCATTTTTTCTTCTTACTGCTCTGACCATAATACTGTCTGCTTTTCACCCTTTTATTGGCATCCTCTTACTCCTTGCAGCCAATATTAGCTTCCAACACTCCTCATGTGAACTTCTAACGTAGTTTTTGTTCAGTTATGTGGCAGTTTTGTGAGTGCCATTCAGCAGCTTGTGATGATAAATCTGGGTCCCCTGCTTCCTGGTGTTTCGATTTCATGCTTTCTTCTCTTTTGCCCTTTATTTTTGGAAGAACTTCTTTGTAAGTAATCACTGGCTAGCTAATTATGTTTCTTCAAATGCTTCCTTAACATTATCTTTCCAGAAAGCTAATATAAATCTTAATAAAACCAAAATCAGCCATCATACCAATCAGCAATATCTCGTTCTCCCTTTTAGCATGTGCTTGTGTCCCTCTTGCTGTTATCTTATACTTGACATAAGATTTCTGAAAAAGAAGTGCTTAAAAGGAAGTTTTTCTAGGATAGTAGGTACTGAGTCCAGAATAACTTTAGCTTTGCTTTATAATCTTCATCATCTGCAAGGACTAGTGTAAGTTCTCGTAGGAATCGGACTAAGAGATGAGTTGGGGAAGCTAGAAAAAGGAAGTAAAGAAGCTCTTTCCCCAGTTTACACTCTGTCAAAACCACTCTTGGACTTTTACTTGCAGTGTGATAGTTGGAGGCACTATGACAATTCTTTCGGACTACAAATAATAAAACATTTGAATAGAGACACTATTTGTCTGCAACTAGGCAGCTAATGGTGATGTTACACCTGGAAAATAAGGAAAGGTTTTAAGCATTTTTGCTATTGAGTTGTGTGATTGAAAAATAGCTAAAGAAACACTAAAGTGTTTATTGTTTTTTTTTCCTCCAGATAAATACACTTTGATTGGAATTTACTACTTGCCAATATGTATCATTCTGTGTCTGAAACCAGTCACCCTTTGCAAACAGAGGAACAAGAAATAGGCATTGATCCCTTGCAGAGTTATTTGAACAAGCCAGAGGAAGGTGAGTTTTGTATGTCTGTATTTTTTTTACTTTATACCTAGAAACTCTATATGAATGTGTTATGACAACTCTACCTGTTCTAATTTGTTTAATTCTCTCAATGAACTTGAACAGGGCAACTCAAAGAACATTTCACAGAGTATGTGCAGAACACTGACACTAATGAAAACCACGAAAAGTCAACTTTCAATTACAGACAGAAACATTAGCCAAATGTTTAATGCGCTGCCATCCTTTTTTAATCATAAACCAAACACTGGCTTCAGTTTAAGAATACTGAAATGCAGCATGATTTTATGTTACTTTCTGAGCATGGGCTCTTACACTGTGTATGTTTTGGGGGATTTTTGTGTAGTAAGGTCAGTGTATTATTTTGGATGAGATCACGCAAATAAAAAGGCCATTTTTTCTTATTTTTGGCTCAGCACCTATATCTTTATTTTTTAAAAAACAGAAGCTGAGATAGAATGAACAGGCTCTAAAGGTAGAAATTATTATGTAACCTAAAGTAAATTAATTAAATGCAGTATTTGGAAGACTAATGAACAGTGAGAACGAACTGCTTGCATAATGCAATGCATGTCTGTGTTGCTTGTCTTTTCTCCTTATTTGCAAGTAGTGACAGTATAGTTGGTTGGAAGAAAGTGATAAGCTTAACGAGAAAGCTCATCCTTGTCATGAAAACATTCCTCAAGTACTCAGTTATACACAGTGGCACCTTAACTACCTGTAATTTTCCAGTCATTGAACACATGTACCAGGAGGGCAAAATAAAAAATTTATTTTAAATTACAGAGTTGAAGCAACTTTGTCACATTTCTTAAGTCCCTCACCCAGATCGACTGCTCTGTGTGGGTGTATCTGTCTATAAATCTTCCATTTACTAGTGCTTACCAAAATAGCTATGTCAAGTTTTGCTTAGTCAGGTTTATTACTTCAGCTTATAAGAAGCTGATGTTTTGCTTTAAAATACATTGGTAAAACTTCATTGTCCCTTTGAGCTAATTCTTTTTTTTTTTCCTTCATTGGTTTATAAAGCCTTTTCAATGTTAGAAAATGAGAATGAACATCCAGGGGAAAGTATTTTAAAACCTGCTGATTGAATGAAATAGCTTTTCTAGGTCAGTGTTCCTCCTCTGACATCTTAACGATACGGAGCCATTTTAGTTTGATAAACTAAATGCATTTTTGTACATATTTTTAGAAACTTGAAAATAATCTTTTGCAATAAGCTAAATTAATACCCGTTTTCCAGAGGAAATGTATCTGATTCTAGTCTACCCCAATCAAGAAAAGTATAAGCATTTCTTCTGATTGTTTTTTTTTCCTTAAGAAAATACTGGTAATTCTCTCAACTCTGTATTAAGAAAAACTAAAATTTTTTACCCTGTTAAAAAAAACACAACACAACATATTGTAAATTAATTTTGTCTTTTCTTGTGCCCAGAAGCGATTAGTTACCTTGACTGAAAAGGTTTCTCATTTTTATCCCAACCTTAACATTTCTATGACATACAAAGTTATTAGTATTGAATTGATGTTTAAAAGTGCCATTAATTCATTTACCCCAAATGTTCATTAACAATGTAAATGTATGCTGATGTTCTATGAGACAAGGAAGTGACTAATGACTCTTCGCACTAACAACACTTAAAATGAATAGAAACTTTAGATAGCTAATCTTGAAGTAATCAAGACCCTCATTCAGCTTGGCATCTCTGTATGCTCTAAAACAGCTGTCAACTGTTAAAAATATATACACAACACACACATACGCACATGCGAAGATAAAGATATGTAAATACATGGTTCCCCAAGTCATAAAGGTTACCAACTATGGTACATTTTTTATGTTCTATCTATGTAAATATTTTATATAAAGCATCCATTTAATCTTCATAGGGTTTTTTTGCTGAAACACATACTGCATTTTAATTTGAAACTTTGTATATCCAAAATAAGTCTCTGAAGTTTTAATACTTCATCTTAAATAAGCTGTATGCTTAGATGGTTTTAGGTCTTTGGACACCAAAGTATGCAGATGTTCTTGTCTGTGAAGTCTGTCTGTCATTGTCTTCATGAAGGTATTTCAAGACAAGGTTTTTCAATTCAGCCTCAAGTTTTAGGCATGATAAAGAATCAACTTGGTGCAAATGTGTGTGTAAAGTCTTCTGCATCATGTTTCATAGAAATATGGAGGAGAGGTGGTCCATCAGTTGGAGATGTTCTGTGCAATATTGTAGAATATCAGGACATCTGAATTTTTTTTTTGAAGCTGTGCTGAATGCTTTAAGCGTTACCTAGGAAGCAAAGTGCTAGAAGTCTTCACTGAGATGAAGCAATAAAAATAAAGCATGTCACTGTAAGGATGCTGAAAATAAATATTTAATCATAAAACTAGTCAGATTTGTTAATCTGTGTGAAGTATTGTATTTTTAGTATATGCAACTGATATCAAAACTTGATGCAGAACCAGGAGATGTCACGTCCAGCTGGAGTTTTGAAATTCTCTCACAAGGCATTTTCATAAAATGAAAGAAATCTCAGAAGCACATGAATTGCTGTTAAGTATAGCTTGTTGGAAAACTGTGTGCGTAGACTACTTTTTGTTCATTTGCCGTCAGCTTGGAAGGATGTATTTGATGGGATTCCAGAATTTTTTTGATTGAGTCTAGTAGTGCTTAGTGCTTTTATTAAAATCTCAATTAAGGTGTAGAGACAATGCGTGGCTTATTTGGGACAGGGCTGTTGGCACAGTGGAGGGCAGATGTACGATTCAAAGTAGTATTGAAATTTTGGAGAAGTGGTCTGAGAAGAATAAGACATGGTTCAGTAGGAACAGCTGCGAGGATTAATGTTGCAGATGCTAGGCAGGAGACAATTACCTAGCTGAACAAATAAAAGTAGAGCATTACAGATGAGGTAAGTGTCATTTGAAAAAAGATCTGGGCGTTCATAGCACTCCAAATTTTGTGTAACTGAAGAACTTTGAATCTTGAGTTATGATGAGTCATGAGAATGTGCTTGTTTGCAAGTTTAAAATATTCAGTAATTGACAGTCAGGATTTTTTTTTTTCTATCCCTTTAAAATATTCAAAAACAACCAGATAAGACAGTATTTCAGTCTTTTTTCGATGGTTGATTTTTCGTTGTGTCTGATTTGTTTTTAAGACAGACACATGTGCAATATATGCACTCATATATACTTTTTTAAATAGCATTTTTGATAACATACAGACATTTGTGGCAGGGATTCTCACTTTAGTAGTCTAATACATCAAATGGAAGATTTTTATTTCTTTAAACAAATTTTAATTTTGGATTATAGTTTTGGATCTGGTTGTATTTTAATTTACATGTGTGTATGTATATGTGCATTGTTATGTTTACTTTTGACTATAGTAACTTGATGCCATATTCCTACATTTTCTGTTCTAAGAATCCTTGTGATATTGTTCATTTTATTCTAACAATATTTTTGAATGATTCCTTCTGAATTAGGGATCCTTATGAGAGAAACCGATGAGTCTTACATTTTTTTTGTCTCCAGCAGAGACTTTATAAACCCTGAATATATGAAGAAGCATTTCAGAAACTTTGTTCTTCTACCTTCTCCTTGTGTATTGCAGCAAACTGACTGCTTTATTTATTTCCAAATGCTTGAGGTTTATACTACATTGAAACAGGATAACCAGGTTAACTGTTTCTGACCTGCCAGAAATTTTTACTCAAAGTTAGTGTTCACCACATTCTGACAGAAGTTTTGAAGAGTATAGTAGGTAGTATTCCCATTCCATCGATGTAATGAGAAAGTTGATCCTCTAAGGACAGACTGGAGCAATGCATTTAATACTCTTCAATTTAATTTGCTCAATATCACAATTAATACAATTAAGGTCACTTGAAATGAAACTATTAACGAATTGGGTAATTTACTTTAACAATGTCAGTGTGTTCTAACAATTACATTTGCTTTAATTAGTGTACAAGCTATTATTTAATAGCATATTTCACATAGAAAAATGTAATGTGTTCTTTGTTCTTAATAGAAGAAAAGGGGAAACCTTTAATGGGTCTAAGTGTTTTGGATTTGGAGTTTACGGGGTTATATTTAAAGTCTAAAGGCAATAGTTGGTGGTGAGGACAGAGAAGGCTGATATGGCTGGAAGGACAAAGGTAACTACTGCAGTGTGTGACTGAAATTAATCCAGTTGAGATAGATCAGTTGCTCACCTCATGCTTACCATTGCATCCCTCCTGATTATCAAGGTTGCCTTTAAAAATGTGAGATGGTAAGACAACATTCATATTTCTACTTCAGCCATATTCTGTGTTTTTCCATTGCTCATCTTGGGACAACTTTGCCGTTTTGGTGTTAACCTCGTAACCCTGATCACTAGAAAGTATTACTATGTAGAACTATACCTTATGTGGAGTTTGAGATACCTGGTTTGTATCAATGTTATACAGAAAGCATAAAAATCAGAGGGGGATGAAAAAGTAAATGCCAGCTTCTCTAGACCTACCATATAATTTCCTCGAATCATAACTGCAATTCTCATGGGACTGTTGTGGTCTTGGGTGATTTCTTTCACATTAGTTCCAGGGTTAAGTGAATTTTTGTTGTCAGAAAATTGTATTGTCTCCTAATTAGTCAGTAGCTATTCAGTGTTACCAGTTTACAACCCTTTCGGTCAGTGAAACAATGCTAAAGCAGATTGCCCTGTATGGCATTTATCTGTCTGGTTTTAGAGATCGTTTCTGTGATTACATTTAAAAGGAACCATCACAGAGTTCTAGACCTCTCAGTGTGAGAAGTACATTCCTAGCTAAAAGCAATTGAGAATGGAAATATAGTGAGTTCTTGAAGCCTTACTACTTTCTTAGCAAATATTTTTTGATCGTGTATTGTATGGTGTCTTATGCGTCTTGTAATGTGTGTTCTTTCCTCTTCTCTCCAGTGAGGGACATGCACATGAAGTATAGCATTCTGTTGTTAG